AAGGATCTCGATCTTGATCTAATGCAAGAATAGGGATATCAAAATAGGTAGGTTTTTGCGTTAATTCATGTTTGATTTGAAGAATTGTGTTAGTAGTAAGTATTATAGGGCCCTCCGTCGTTCGTGAATTGAGAGAGTGGTATGTCTAAGAAATCGGTATCTTTGCGATGAATGAAGCCAAGTCACCTAGATTTTCCATCATACTTACCGATATATCCCATTTTACTATAATTATCCTTAATCTCGCCATTGATTCTCTCCAACAAAGACCTTTCGACTTTTTCTTTTATCACGCCGTATGCACACTTTTCTTATATAGCCGTTATTTCCGCTCCTATTGATTTAATTTCTACCCTTGTCACTCCTTAATACATGGGTTACTTGAGCATTGACCTCCAAGTGGTGTGACTTGAATAAAAAACCAACGAATATTTGGTGAAGCTATCTTATTATTTTTATATGGCTCGATTTCGAATAAATAATCACCTTTAACTTCTGAGATTTTGTGTCGGAGCTATTTGTATGATGTTATAAATAATTATTTTTGGTGTCTGTCACGGTCAATTTTAATCAATCATATCGTCTCATATTCTTATACAGTATATTATTATAAACTGTTAAGGTGATAGAAAATAAAATGTATATATTTCGAAGTAAAAAAATCTTAAATGTGTATAGAATATTATTGAATTTTTGAAGCCGTTTGTCATGATAAGAAAATATCAAACCCCCTTTTTTTCTTGCGTCTGCTTTACGACTACACCTAATGGATGAGTTAGTCAATAAAAATATATAAACGCAATCGATATGTTTATATAAAAATGAACCCACCCGATCCAACAGAAGTGTCATAAACGAGAAACTTCGGAAGAATGCAATGCTTGTCTTATGACAGACTGTGAAAGACACCATAAGTTTCATATATGGGAAGCTTTGAAGAAGCGCAAGATGAATCAACAAACAGGCTGCCTAAGGTATACTTTTGTTAATGGTTGCTGGAAGAAATGTAAAGAACACGAACATATACGAATCTGGCCACGTCTGTCACCATTGCGAAATAGACCTGAATGAGAAAATTTCTGTCAACTAAAAATTTTACTCCATATTTGTCATCGAAATCTCCTGGACAGATTTACAGTATATCTTACAGAGATCGAGCCTGATCCCCCTGACTTACTTGGCCCCGCATTAGATAACTTGCATACCAATAAGATGATAACGAAGAACAAATTGAGAACGAATGGCAAAATAAAATACGACCTGATTAAATGCTCCTGGTAGAAATGGGTCCGAACACAGTCGTAGACAACTTCTCTGACCTAGGATCACGTGATATTTACTGGAATCATGACTGGGCCGTCGATGCTAGATATCACTCCAATATTGAAGATGTCATTAACTTCGCTCAGCGCGTTCCCACTGCAGAACAAGGCATTGGGAATTTAATTGACGAAATTGTTGATGACCAAACCTTAAATAAAGGAACTGGAAAGTCGTACTTGATTAAAAAAATTCGTGCTCAACCTTATATAACATGGCAAAAGACCATGATCAGCCTAACGTTTTTACTCGTACTCGCTCCAACATGGGTTGCTGCGTTTAACATCCATAGTACCACCATTTATTCTGAACTCTCTATCTCGACATCAAATATGGGCCTCGACATAGATGGCGAGCGATTAAAGCAGCTATAACAGAGATTACAGGGTGTAAGCTACTTTATTATAGACGAAAAGAATGCAATTGATATACGGTTGCGCCAAGCTTTGGTGGTCGATCGATTATTTTAGTTGGTGACTTCTGCCGGTGCGTGATATTCCTATAGTATCCGACCACATGAAGATCACTACTCTAAGAACCAAATTTTATCCGTGAATAACTCTAAATCTAATGCATCAAAATTTTTTTCCTGCATATTCACAAACTTCCTTTATTCAAAAATAAAAAATGAAAATTGAACAGTCATGTGCAATGTATCAGTCCTGTTTCTTGGCACATGCCTGTCTTATTCCAGTTCCCTTATGGAGAGGTCTAAGAGAAAACTTATATTGAGTCTTTACAGAGATAAGGTGGAAGTTAACAAGAGAAACTATATAGTTTTAAGGCTTATGGAGAGAGAGTAATCAGAAAGGTCCAGGTGATATATTGATGTTCACATGATCAACTTGAAAGTCTTCTAGGATGGCCAGAAATAAGCACTATGCATATCTGGCCCTTTTTTCGCATATTATATGTAACCGCATATTTGTCACCTTATGCTTATCCAGCATATCGGACGCATATCTAGCATATCAGTTATAACATATTATATAATTTGCGCAGTTAGCGCAATTTTTCTGATCATCTATTAAAAAAAAAAAAATGATTACCGCTAGTGAACGTCAACAAGAATGTGACCTTTATCGAGAAAATTTTTACATAGAAGACAAAAAACTATTTTATGTTTTTTGCAACTGTATAGTAAATCATGAAAAAAAATTTTCAGTTAACCAACATTTGAAAACTGAAAACCATAAAAATAATAAAAAAAAAACTATACAAAGAACTCGCCAACTTATACTTATGGATTCAGTTGATTCAGCAAGTGATCGTGAAATGATTAATATAGATCTGGTTCGAGCATTCACTCAAGCAAACATATCATTAGAGAAAATTGATAAGCTTAACCCATTTTTGTCTCAATATTGTAAAAATGGTAAGTTATATTATATTATATTATATTATATATATTTTTCTATTATAAATAGGAGGTACTATTGTTGGATCTTCGCAACTTAGAGAAAAATATTTACCAATTGTATATAATATGGAATTAAAAAATTTAAAAACTGTTTTGATAGAACAAGCAATTTCAATTACTGTTGATGAATCAACTGATAGTTGTGG